TGTTTCTTGGATGACATCCTGATCTTTTCGGAATCGCAGCAGGAGCATGACAGGCACGTCAAGGAAGTGCTGAGCAGGCTACAGCAACATAGGCTTTACGCCAAGCTGGAGAAGTGCCAATTCGACGTGACGGAGGTGGATTTCCTGGGCTACAAGTTGTCTGATAAAGGGCTCGCCATGGACAGCACCAAGGTCCGAGCAGTGTTGGATTGGAAAAGCCCACGCAACCGGAAGGAGGTCCAACGGTTTGTCGGCTTTGCGAACTTCTATCGCAAGTTTATCAAAGGCTTTGCCATGCAGACAGCGGCCATCACGGACACGCTCAGCTCCAAGAAAAAGAAGTTCATCTGGACAGAGCAGGCGGAGCAGTCCTTTCAGGCACTCAAGCCGTCTCTTCGCGTCGGAAGAGCAACTGCTTCATGTCATCCCCAGCAGGCCGATGAGGGGGGAGACAGACGCTCGGACAGAGCCGTGGGAGCAGTCCTGCTGCAGAAGGACCCGCAGGGGGTTTGGAGGCCGGGAGCGTTTTACTCAAGGAAGCTCAGCAAGTCCGAACAGAACTACACCATCTGGGACAGGGAGTTGCTGGCCATTCATGCAGCGTTCAAAGCGTGGAGGCACTTCCTGATCGGCGCCAAGCACACGGTGCAGGTCTGCACGGACCACAAGAATCTAGAGCACTGGCGCACGGCACAGTTCCTGAACCAGAGGCAGATACGTTGGGCTGAGTTCTTTGCGAATTTCGACTTCCGAATAGAGTATGTCCCGGGGACACCAACATCATGGCGGATGCTCTCTCCCGTAAGCCACAGTATTTGGAGGAGGCAACGCCAGCGGCCGCCATGCACATCTTCGCACCGACAGTGTGGGCGTGCACGGCGGCGACAGTTGACCTGGAGGCGGTGCGACGAGCGTTGCAGGATGACTCCTTCGCGCAAGCAAAGATGGCAGAGGCGCACAGGGGCACGGCAGCGACCGACGAGTTCCAGCTGCGAGATGGTTTGCTCATCCGTAAAGGGGCCATCTACGTGCCGGGAGACGAACTTCGCGCCAAGGTACTGCAGCAGCTGCACGACGCGCCCACTGCCGGGCACTTTGGCAAGGAGAAAACGGTGGAATTAGTAGCCAGAGACTTCTGGTGGCCAGGAATGAGAGGGGAAGTCGCGGACTACGTGGCGAGGTGTGACACCTGCCAGAGGGCCAAACCAGTGCACAGACCGCCGGCCGGACTGCTGGAACCGCTGCAAACTCCGTTCGAACCATGGGAGAGAGTGGCCCTGGACTTTGTCACGGATCTGCCCAGCTCGAGGGGCAAGACGGCTGTGCTGGTGGTGGTGGACTTGTTCTCCAAGATGGCACATTTCATTCCGTGTGCGAAGGTGGCCACGGCGGAACAAACCGCCAAACTGTTCATAGACCACGTGTTCAAGGTTCACGGTCTGCCGCGGTCTATTCTGTCCGACCGAGGGCGACAGTTCATCTCGAACTTCTGGCAGAGGCTGATGGGCTTCCTGAACGTCAAGATCAACCTGGCGTCGGCTAGACACCCGCAGACCAATGGGCAAGCGGAGCGGGTCAATGCCATCATGCAGCAGTACCTGAGATGTTATGCGAATCAACAGCCTGCGACGTGGGTGGATTACCTGCCTCTCGCCGAGTTCGCCTACAACAACACGAAGCACGTGTCCACGGGGGTCACGCCGTTCTTCGCCAACAACGGGAGGCACCCCAGAACCTTCCCGGGACTGGAAAGAATGGGGGAGGGGAGCCGCAGACAGCAGATGCATTCGCGCCGGAGTTGCAGGAGGTCCACGATCAGCTGCGGCGGCACCTGGAGCTGGCTAAACACGCATACAAGGTACAAGCGGACAAACACAGAAGGGTTGGCGAAGAGATCCATGTGGGAGACTGGGTCTGGTTAGCAGCCCACGCAGTGCCGGCCAGGTCGTTGGCGAAGAAGAAACTAGGGCATAAACAACTGGGGCCCTACCAAGTCGAAGAACAGGTCAACCCGGTGGCTTTCAGGCTGGCTCTTCCGGAGGGTTCCAGAATGCATCCGGTGTTCCACAGATCGGTGCTCACTCCCTACAAGGCACCTCACAGGTTTCAGGAACCAGGAACGGCACCGGGTCCGCTCCGAGAGAGAACCGGGCAGGGGGGAGTGGCACGGGAGGAGCGCATCAACGAAGTCACGGAGATTTTGGACTCCAGATGGGGGGAAGAGGGGGTAGAATACCTTCTCGCCAAGGAGGGCACCCCGGCCAGTGCCAACAGCTGGGTGCCGGGCTACGCTTTAGACGAACCTCTGCTCAAAGAAGAGTTTCATGCCCTCTTCCCACATAGGCCAATGCCAGCAGACTTTTTCGACGACTGGCTTTTCACGCCCACGCTTTCAGCCAGCACGCTCCGGGGTTCGACTCGGACGAGGAACCGACACGAGACGCCCGTTTCCCGGAGGGGTCACCCTCAGGATCTGCTTCAGAACCCTCGTATTGGTGGGATGATCGACCAGAGGAGCAGTTCCGTAGAAGGTGGCTGGAGGGTCCAGGACGAGCAACGTCTCCAGAAGGCAACGAGGGAGAGACGGACATGGACTTTTCGGGACGACCCGGGCTTCGAGCACGGCGGCACAGAGATGGAAGCGGAGGTGACCGTCGTCAACGAGAGCAGGGAGGAAGAACCGGAAGACTTCAGATGGCGGCCCGCCACGGGAAGCGAACTGTATCCGACATTCGTCCCCCTGACACGGCAGCACCCAGATCCCGCACCGGAAGGAGGGGAGGGGGAAGAGGGGGCTTCGAGGGGGGGATGGATGTCAGGGGTTCAGGAGCAGAGGCAAGGGCAAGGGAGGAAACAGAGAGCGAGGGGGAGGAGGCAGAAGAAAAGATGAGTGATGACGACGACCCGAGATCTCCGAGTCTTTCCAGTGAATCAGAAGATTCACAGAAAGGAGCACCAGTGGCCAGGGCAAGGGGGGAGCCTAGGGGGACACCCCAGGAAGATAGAGCCAGAGGGGACTCAGAGGGGAGCAGTTGGAAATCGGGACCAACGTCACCGCCAGAGAGCAGGGAAGAGGAAGGGCGCCAGGGATCAAGCGCTGGCAACTCACAACAGGGGGGAGGGCACGAGTCAGGAGTGGCCACACCTCCATCGGGGAGCGAAGAAACGGTCAGACGGAAGGTGGAAGGTTGGGCGCGCGCGCCAAGTTCAAATGCACAGGAAGGTGGCGCAGTAGGCAGCCCGGAAAGGGAGCCAGGTCCTAAAGCCCGCCGAAAGGAGGGAGAAGAGTCAGGGAGTCAGCGTCAGCGCCAGAGGAATCCCGGAAGGAAGAGACCCCGGGGGCAGAGGGACCCAGAGAAGAACAGTCAGGCGGAAAAGGTGGAGCAGGGCTAGGATATTAAGTTGGTGTACAAGGGGCGGAGACTCAGACGGAGCTTCGCCGGTCTAAGCATGAGACGTAGAGTTGCACGCAGCAGCTTGAGAATGGAAACTGTAACTCAATAAAGACTTTTGTTTAATGATCGCTGGCTAGCGTGATCCTCTGTGAGCTAGGATCTGGAAGCAGCTCTGACACCAGCCCACACCTCAAAGCAATGTATTCAGAGGAATACTCAGTCTATAATAAACAGAAGAGAACCTTTGATAATGTAAGCAGCTATGCAGCAAGCTAGAGGTAGAATTATAAATTGTAACCCAGCAATACAGCAGTGAAAAATGATAAATTGACTTATGCAACAAACCTATAAGCCAAGCAAAGCTCCAAAGAGCCCTTAAGCACTATTATCAAAATCAACCAAATGAATTAAATTGCCAGATTAAATATATACTTATAAACTAACAAATGAAATACCAGAAAGAGATGAACGTAGAAGAGGCATGAGCTATTTACTTTAGATTCCCTATAAACCTGTATGCAAAGATATAAAACCCGGATCTCTTTTTCCTTATAACTATGAATTGACTATACCAAATTATAAAACTTAATGCCTAGGCAGAGAGCAAATGACACAGCTCCTCAGAGCACCGCAAGCTGAATGAAATAATTTGAATTCCAATATACTGTGCACTAATGCTTCAATTTAATTTAAATGCGTTTCGTAAATTCCCAGAATGAAATTCTCAAGAGTGTAAGTATAAACAAAAGCAGTCAAATTAATTAGAGGATATCAATTCTAAGATCAGCCTAGCCAGAGACGCTGTAGCCCGCTCTATACAAGCTTATGCAGCAAGAGGAGGGGCTCCCTGCAGCCCCTTGTGCTCTCTTATTTAAGCTAGGCTCTTTTAATTGCACCATCATCCTTTGTTTATATTGCTTATGTTTATTTCCTTTGTTTATATTGCTTTTGAATTTAAAACCAACGAGAAAGTGAGGGGCACTCGAAAAGGAGATAGCTCCCACGTGGTTTTGCCTCTCCTAAAATGGCTGCCGCCGCAAGGCCACGTGGGCAATCAAAATGGCGGCCGTAATGCGTTCCCGTTGCCTAGCGACAATGAACACTTAACGCTAAAAAATTCCGCAGCCTCAAGAGCAAAACCTGCAGGCATTCCCCACGTACCCCTTATGAACGTTAATTATTCCCCTGGTTTTCTCGCCGGTTAAGCTTAAAAGGGAGGGTTTGTAAAGTTACTTCGCACGTGGAATGCCTATAGTAAAATGGCGGCCGCCCGGAAGGGCACGTGGGCGGATGAAATGGCGGCCGGGGCGCGCTGGTTGCCCGGCAACGGCGCAGCTGCTTCCGAGGCTTTCCAAGTCTAAACTTCCGCGCGAAAATAAAACAGCCTGTAGAGGAAGCGATGCTCTGTGGAAGCCACTCACCCCCTCAAGAATGCTGCTGAAATGATTATTTAACAAGAAATTCTGCCCCTCACCCTGGCAAGAAAATGAAACACAACTGGCACAAAACGCAGCCCGCTCTCCTCCCGCAGCTGCCGTTCCGCCTAATTGCACCACGCTCCCTGCACAAACCCCTAGCTAAAACCTGAAGCCCCAACAGCAAAACCTGATTGGATGGGTGCGCTGCGTCCTCCGTGGAAATAACGAAGAGGAGCCAAACGTTCTTCCTTGAGCTCCTTGCAGAACAGGCAGTCAGCAGCCGAGGGCAAGCAACGGATCAGCAGAAAAAGCTCCACAAAGCTGGATAAATTCCTCTGAGGGGGCATGCAGCAGCAGGCACGGCAAGCTCCTGAGGGCAGGGAACTTGCACCGAAACACACAGAGCTCCCTGTAAAACTGTAGACGTGAAAGAGATGCTGGAAGGAAAGCACACAAACACACACACAGTGATTTTAGCTCAATTACAGCTCCGGTGTTAAACTGCAGCAGCTGGAATGGAGCGCAAAGGGGAAACCCCAGAAGGAAAAAAGCCCCAAATTGGTTTCAGCTCCAAAACTAGAGATAACAACTCCTGAACATCAAGCAGTTTAGAAATCAAGCAACACCAGCAGCGAATGCTGGAAATTCTCTGTAAAAGAAAGGAGCTTTTTCTGTGAAGCTACAGCAAATTCCACGAGGTGCCCTGCAGCTCAAGAACAAAGGCAACAAAGAAGCAAGGCAGGAAAGCTCCAGGCAACGCAGATAAGATCTCCGACAAACAGGAACAGCTGATATGCGGGAAACAAACGTGGGGGCTAGCTGGCAAAAAGAGGGTGAGCCCCCTCTGCGCCGGCCCTAAATAGGGGAGACACGGCTGGGATTCCCCTGCTCTCGCGGGGGCTGAAACCAGCCCCCGCTCACGTGGGGGGTGGGCGTGAAGCCCGCAACCCCACCTCCTGGGCAGGCCGGAAGTGGCTTTGTGCTTATTTCAATTCGCATGGGGTTTTATGGGTGTGCACCAGAATCACCACCAACCAAAGCAAAAAGGTCTTTTGGGTTCCATCTACATAAAAAGAAGATGATAAAGCTCTGATTGGGCTTATTTCAAATTGGTGTTTTTGGGGTTAGAATGCACATTCACCCAAAAATCGCAGAGTGACATGTTCATTATTAGCCCAAACCAAGCATAGGTGTTTTGGTTCCATCTCAATAGAAAGAGGACGAATAAGCTTGCATTGTTCTTTCGGTGTTCAGTCCCCCACAAATAGCAAAGTGTAATAAGCCTAAACAAAGCCAAACAGGTTGTTTTGGGTTGCAGCAACATAGAAAGAAGAATCTTGGTGTCAGAGCTGCTTCCAGATCCTAGCTCACAGAGGATCACGCTAGCCAGCGATCACTAAACAAAAGTCTTTATTGAGTTACAGTTTCCATTCTCAAACTGCTGCGTGCAACTCTACGTCTCATGGTTAGACCGGCGAAGCTCCGTCTGAGTCTCCGCCCCTTGTACACCAACTTAATATCCTAGCCCTGCTCCACCTTTTCCGCCTCACTGTTCTTCTCTGGGTCCCTCTGCCCCCTGGGGTCTCTTCCTTCCGGGATTCCTCTGACGCTGACCCCCCTGACTCTTCTCCCTCCTTTCGGCGGGCTTTAGGACCTGGCTCCCTTTCCGGGCTGCCTACTGTGCCACCTTCCTGTGTATTTGAACTTGGCGCGCGCGCCCAACCTTCCACCTTCCGTCTGACCGTTTCTTCGCTCCCCGATGGAGGTGTGGCCACTCCTGACTCGTGCCCTCCCCCCTGTGAGCTGCCAGCGCTTGATCCCTGGCTCCCTTCCTCTTCCCTGCTCTCTGGCGGTGACGCTGGTCCCGATTTCCAACTGCTCCCTCTGAGTCCCCTCTGGCTCTATCTTCCTGGGGCGTCCCCTAGGCTCCCCCTTGCCCTGGCCACTGGTGCTCCTTTCTGTGAATCTTCTGATTCACTGGAAAGACTCGGAGATCTCGGGTCGTCGTCATCACTCATCTTTTCTTCTGCCTCCTCCCCCTCGCTCTCTGTTTCCTCCCTTGCCCTTGCCTCTGCTCCTGAACCCCTGACACTTGGATTTTGCTTATTTCGTGTTCTTTGGTGTTAATGCACATTGACCCAGAAATCTCAAAGTGTGTGTAATGAGACCAAAATAAAACCACATTGTCTTTTTGTTTCCATACGCGTAGAAAGAAGACGAATAAGCTTTGATTGTGCTTATTTCTATTCGCATGGGGTTTTATGGGTGTGCACCAGAATCACCCCCAACCAAAGCAAAAAGGTCTTTTGGGTTCCATCTACATAAAAAGAAGATGATAACGCTCTGATTGGGCTTATTTCAAATTGGTGTTTTTGGGGTTAGAGTGCACATTCACCCAAATATCGCAGAGTGACATGTTTATTATCAGCCCAAACCAAGCATAGGTGTTTTGGTTCCATCTCAATAGAAATAGGACGAATAAGCTTGGATTGTTCTTTCGGTGTTCATTCACACAAATAGCAAAGCGAATTGTAATAAGCCTAAACACAGCTAAATAGGTTCTTTTGGTTTCCAGTTACATAGAACGAAGAATCTTGGATTTTGCTTACTTCGTGTTCTTTGGTGTTAATGCACATTGACCCAGAAATCGCAAAGTGTGTGTAATGAGACCAAAATACCACAACACCGTTTTTTCGCTTCCATACGCGTAGAAAGAAGACAAATAAGCTTTGATTGTGCTTATTTCAATTCGCATGGTGTTTTTTGGGTGTGCACCAGAATCACCCCCAACCAAAGCAAAAGGTCTTTTGGGTTCCATCTACATAAAAAGAAGATGATAAAGCTCTGATTGGGCTCATTTCAAATTGGTGTTTTTGGGGTTAGAATGCACATTCACCCAAAAATCGCAGTGACATGTTTGTTATCAGCCCAAACCAAGCATAGGTGTTTTGGTTCCATCTCAATAGAAAGAGGACGAATAAGCTTGCATTGTTCTTTCGGTGTTCAATCACTCACAAATAGCAAATCGAATTGTAATAATCCTAAACAAAGCCAAACAGGTTCTTATAGGTTCCAGTTACATAGAACGAAGAATCTTTGATTTCGCTTATTTCAAGTCGTGTTCTTTGGTGTTAATGCACATTGACCCAGAAATCGCAAAGTGTGTGTAATGAGACCAAAATAACACAACACCGTCTTTTCGCTTCCATATGCGTAGAAAGAAGACAAATAAGCTTTGATTGTGCTTATTTCAATTCGCATGGGGTTTTATGGGTGTGCACCAGAATCACCCCCAACCAAAGCAAAAAGGTCTTTTGGGTTCCAGCTACATAAAAAGAAGATGATAAAGCTCTGATTGGGCTTATTTCAAATTGGTGTTTTTGGGGTTAGAATGCACATTCACCCAAAAATCGCAGAGTGACATGTTTATTATCAGACCAAACCAAGCATAGGTGTTTTGGTTCCATCTCAATAGAAAGAGGACGAATAAGCTTGCATTGTTCTTTCGGTGTTCAGACCCCACAAATAGCAAAGCAAAGTGTAATAAGCCTAAACAAAGCCAAACAGGTTGTTTTGGGTTGCAGCAACATAGAAAGAAGAATCTTGGATTTTGCTTATTTCGTGTTCTTTGGTGTTAATGCACATTGACCCAGAAATCTCAAAGTGTGTGTAATGAGACCAAAATAACACAACACCGTCTTTTCGCTTCCATACGCGTAGAAAGAAGACAAATAAGCTTTGATTGTGCTTATTTCTATTCGCATGGTGTTTTTTGGGTGTGCACCAGAATCACCCCCAACCAAAGCAAAAAGGTCTTTTGGGTTCCATCTACATAAAAAGAAGATGATAAAGCTCTGATTGGGCTTATTTCAAATTGGTGTTTTTGGGGTTAGAATGCACATTCACCCAAAAATCGCAGAGTGACATGTTTATTATCAGACCAAACCAAGCATAGGTGTTTTGGTTCCATCTCAATAGAAAGAGGACGAATAAGCTTGCATTGTTCTTTCGGTGTTCAGACCCCACAAATAGCAAAGCAAAGTGTAATAAGCCTAAACAAAGCCAAACAGGTTGTTTTGGGTTGCAGCAACATAGAAAGAAGAATCTTGGATTTTGCTTATTTCGTGTTCTTTGGTGTTAATGCACATTGACCCAGAAATCTCAAAGTGTGTGTAATGAGACCAAAATAACACAACACCGTCTTTTCGCTTCCATACGCGTAGAAAGAAGACAAATAAGCTTTGATTGTGCTTATTTCTATTCGCATGGTGTTTTTTGGGTGTGCACCAGAATCACCCCCAACCAAAGCAAAAAGGTCTTTTGGCTTCCAACTACATAAAAAGAAGATGATAAAGCTCTGATTGGGCTTATTTCAAATTGGTGTTTTTGGGGTTAGAATGCACATTCACCCAAAAATCGCAGAGTGACATGTTTATTATCAGCCCAAACCAAGCATAGGTGTTTAGGTTCCATCTCAATAGAAAGAGGACGAATGAGCTTGCATTGTTCTTTCGGTGTTCAGTCCCCCACAAAGAGCAAAGCAAAGTGTAATAAGCCTAAACAAAGCCAAACAGGTTGTTTTGGGTTGCAGCAACATAGAAAGAAGAATCTTGGATTTTGCTTATTTCGTGTTCTTTGGTGTTAATGCACATTGACCCAGAAATCGCAAAGTGTGTGTAATGAGACCAAAATAACACAACACCGTCTTTTCGCTTCCATACGCGTAGAAAGAAGACAAATAAGCTTTGATTGTGCTTATTTCTATTCGCATGGTGTTTTTTGGGTGTGCACCAGAATCACCTCCAACCAAAGCAAAAGGTGTTTTGGCTTCCAACTACATAAAAAGAAGATAAGAAAGCTCTGATTGGGCTTATTTCAAATTGGTGTTTTTGGGGTTAGAATGCACATTCACCCAAAAATCGCAGAGTGACATGTTTATTATCAGACCAAACCAAGCATACGTGTTTTGGTTCCATCTCAATAGAAAGAGGACGAATAAGCTTGGATTGTTCTTTCGGTGTTCATTCACTCACAAATAGCAAACCGAATTGTAATGAGCATAAACAAAGCTAAATAGGTTCTTTTGGGTACCAGCTTGATAGAACGAAGAATCTTTGATTTCGCTTATTTCAGGTCGTGTTCTTTGGTGTTAATGCACATTGACCCAGAAATCTCAAAGTGTGTGTAATGAGACCAAAATAACACAACATTGTCTTTTCGCTTCCATATGCGTAGAAAGAAGACGAATAAGCTTTGATTGTGCTTATTTCTATTCGCATGGTGTTTTATGGGTGTGCACCAGAATCACCCCCAACCAAAGCAAAAAGGTGTTTTGGGTTCCAGCTACATAAAAAGATGATAAAGCTCTGATTGGGCTTATTTGGTGTTTTTGGGGTTAGAATGCACATTCACCCAAAAATCGCAGAGTGACATTGTCAGGGGTTCAGAGAGAGAGGCACAGGGTAGGCAGGAGATGGAGAGCGAAGGGGAGGAATTCCAAGCCAGCGAGGAAGAGGACGACAATGACTCAAGGGATTCCATGAGTCTTTCCAGCGAATCAGAGATTTCCCAGAAGGGGGCGCCGGTGGTCAGGGCCAGGGGAGCCCCAGGGGGGAAATGTCAGGAACAGGGTGCCAGCGGAGGATCCCAAAGTGGCAGCTGGGCGTCAGGACCAGCCTCCCCACCAAAGTGCAGCGAAGGGGGTGGAGTTTCCAGTGTGTCAGAGGAAGGAGCTCCAGCAGCAGAGAGAGGAGGGGGGTCAGAGCAAGCAGCCCTCCCGGAAAGGGAGGGGAGCAGTGAAGGGAGCAGTGTATCTGTCAAAAGGAAAGTTAGAGGTTTGGCGCGCGCGCCTAGTTCAAATGTAGAGGCGCACGGAAGTGCAGGGAGCCCGGAGGAGGGGCCAGGTCCCAAAGCCCGCAGGAGGGGGGAGCAGCAGTCTGATTCCGCGTCAGAGGAATCCAGAAAGGGGCAAACCCCAGGGGGCAGAAAGACCCTGCGGAAAAGGAAGGAGAGAAAGAGGTGGAGCAGCGCAAGTCTCTTAAATTGGTGCAGAGGAGGGACTGACTCAGACGGGACTTCGGCGGTCTAGCGTAAGAGACGTAAGGCTGCGCGCCTAAGATGTCAAGCAAACCATGAACTGCAATAAACACCTTTGTATTCAAGAAGACGTAGGCGTTGGTCTTTTGTGAGCTAAGACTTGAGGCAGCCTTGACAGACATGTTTATTATCAGCCCAAACCAAGCATAAGTGTTTTGGTTCCATCTCAATAGAAAGAGGACGAATAAGCTTGCATTGTTCTTTCGGTGTTCAGTCCCCCACAAATAGCAAAGCAAAGTGTAATAAGCCTAAACAAAGCCAAACAGGTTGTTTTGGGTTGCAGCAACATAGAAAGATGAATCTTGGATTTTGCTTATTTCCTGTTCTTTGGTGTTAATACACTGACTCAGAAATCTCAAAGTGTGTGTAATGAGACCAAAATAACACAATATTGTCCTTTCGCTGCCATACGCGTAGAAAGAAGACAAATTAGCTTTGATTGTGCTTATTTCAATTCGCATGGGGTTTTATGGGTGTGCACCAGAATCACCCCCAACCAAGGCAAAAAGGTCTTTTGGGTTCCATCTGCACCAGAATCACCCCAACCAAAGCAAAAAGGTCTTTTGGGTTCCAGCTACATAAAAAGAAGAAGATAAAGCTCTGATTGGGCTTATTTCAAATTGGTGTTTTTGGGGTTAGAATGCACAATCACCCAAAAATTGCAGAGTGACATGTTTATTATCAGACCAAACCAAGCATAGGTGTTTTGGTTCCATGAATAGAAAGAGGACGAATAAGCTTGCATTGTTCTTT